AGTGAGATTAAGTTATCTACTAGTTTACTTGCAAATGAAACCAACTCGTTTGGAAGAACGGTGGTTCAAAAACAAAACAAAAACAAAACAAATAAAAAATTAATTTAGAATAAAAGGGGGAGAAAAACTGATAAGGAATAAGTTTTACAACAACAAATGTCAGCTAGCACAATAGTTAATATTAGGATAGGCGATTTATCAGATCTCCTTACTTCATTCTACAGAAAAGTGATGCTAAGATCAACAACCCAACTGAAAAGAAGTTCAAGAACACTCTGAAGATGAACTGTTCGAAAGGTTAGACATATTTGTGCTTTTTTATGATTGTACAAAACTGTATCAGTATGCTTTCCAGGTCAAATTTACCTATAGGTCCCCCAATCATATTTACTCAATGTCTTTTAGTTATCCTTAGGGTTAAGGAATGAAAGGAGATTTATTCAAATTGAATAGCTCTCGCCAAACTTTATGAGAGCCGAGCCTACATTGAAAGTATAGGATGTGTAAAGATGAACACTAAAAAATATTTCTGCCGTTTAACAGACAGGTTGTTTGGTTAAAAATCCCTCAGCAGTTGACTAATGAGATGAAATGAACATCATTTCGTTTTTTTTTTCTAAAGACAACAGGCGGGCTGTCCCAAGATAGGCTGCCCTAATTCAAGCAGCTTCGTTAGTCAGAAGTGAAAATTATGAAGCTGAAAAACCTTTTGGTGGGGAATTTTCGATTAAATAATCGATGCATTCATTCATTCAGTCATTCATTTATTTGTCCATTCATTCATTTTTATCATCAGAATCCAATGCTACTGGATGAAGACTCTGAGACAGTTGTATTTGTACAGCTTCTTTACAAGCCTTGCAGCTTTGTGTTAACATAATGATTTCCACCGTTCACTGTATTGACACGCTCACAAATTTCCAAAGATAACACAAAAAGGCCTCCAGTCGAATTGCAAAAATGATGGATCTAAATTTCTTTGAATAGATCTTTGCAAGGCTGAAAAAAAAAATTAAATAGTAGAATGCATCGAGTCAAATTAAAATGTAGAAAGGGGCTGAGTTTTTGTTTTTTTTTTTTTGGCCAATTTTATGGACCAAACCTAATGCCACATTGAAATCTGTCAGCATTTTATGGGCAGTCAATTAAAAGCAAAAAAATGTCCAGCTGTTGAAAGTTTTCTTGTTTGACCTTTGTTTGACAATTCTCTTCTATGTTTTTCTTCCTTTCTCTTTTTTTCTTGTTTGTTTTTTTGTTATTTATTTTCTATATAATTTACTCTTTCATGTTATCTATACGAATTAGTTACGGCTTAACCCCAGTACCTCGAATTGCCATGGGGAATTGAAATTACTTCGAGTTATTAGGGCTTTGAACAAAAAGGCCAGAAACACTAGATTAAAGAGGTTTTATGCTTATACAAGTTTCACTGGAAGATTTCTAGAAATGTAAGAGAATAACAACGACAAAACAAAACAAAACAAAAAAAAAGCATGAAAACCACAAAAAAGTAGATGCTCTTCAGAATGTTTATAGCGCTTAATCTAATTTTAACATTTGCTCAAAAATCTATTCACATGATTGATTTGAAGGATAGTTTTCCGTTGCAAATTGTTATTGCTCATTAGTCTGCAAAAATTAAAATCGACTTCGAGTTATCGAGGGTAAATTTTCAAAGAAAAGTACCTGAATGGAAGTAAAAATCGCTACGAGTTAGCGGGGGTTTTAAGTTAACGAGGTTTTGAGTTATAGGGGTTAAAATTACATTAAATGTATGAGGCAAATGTAAGGGAAATCAGTTTTGCTTCGAGTTAGTATGGAAATCGAGTCACCGAGGGCTCGAGTTATCGGAATTCAACTTATATTAATTTTTATTCCAACCAATTTTTATTTTTCTATCTTTGACTCAGTACATGTTTTCGAAAGGTGGCGAGGCAAGAAGATGTGGACTCGCTGTCGTGACGTGAGCAATTTCTGAATGAAGACTTTAAAAATAATCGTGAACTTTTCACATGAAACCATTCGACCCATTGCCTCAGGGTATCTGTACATTCAACTTAACCCCTCTCCCTCACCCCTCCTTCCCCCTGTAAGTAATGAATGAAACTTGAGCTCGGGAGAGTATAGATAAACAGTATACGTAACACGTTATGAACTGATACTGTATTTCATTCAAATCAATCCGATATTTACATGTTTACAGGGCAGATAAGCGTAGTTCGGACGATTAAGGCGCCTTCTGCCGTCTTAGTCGTCAACATACGGCTCCACACTTGCGCCAACCACGGTACATCACGGTCTCACGACCATGGACAGGCTCAGTCCGGACCGCCACCTCAGGCGACCAATGTAGTGCGTTTAATCGCAGCAACTCGCGCCGTCTCGAACTAAACGTTACGCGCCTCTCCGCCACTCCAATAGAACTTCTGTCCCTCCCTTTACTCAGGATTGTTGCCATGCTCCACCGCTGGTTTCGTCTCAATCAAATGAGTCTACAGAGGAAATATTTTTTTCACAAATTTAAATTTTTTTGTCAATGAGAAACCTAATCTTCTTAAGATGGCAAGATATGAGAAAGATAACGGAGAAGGTAAGTTATGATACCAACGTTAAACTGCAGCTTCTTTATACATCACTATCCTTTGAATGATCAGCCATGCGGGCATTGTTTCTTTTTAGCTCATTTCCCAGCAAAGTATGTTTGCAATTTTTGTTGCTGTTTGAACAATTTTTGGGCTCGGCGCTTTTCATTGAATTTTAGCGATAAATTTGTCGCGGGAAGTTTTTCCTGCCGAATTACCACTTATTCATTGCGGGTCAATTTTGTTATTCTAAATAGATAAAACTATGTCACCAAAAGATGTTATAATTATAATTTAATTCAGAGCTTGATTCTTCATAGATTAATTACGCACGTTATCATTTCATTATTGTTTTTGAATGTCACACCACTCACCGAAGGTAGGTTTACCTCCAACTGCTCCGTTTCGAGGAGCAGCTCATCCCTTTCGCTGGTCAGTTTTACACTTATCTTCAGCGAGGCTACGCGGCCATGCGGAAGTGTGTAAGTTAACTTCTCTGGCAGTGTAAACTGGTCGATCTTTATTCTTTCGATCTGAGTCAACATATACAAAAACAATTGAAAGTCAAGCAAAGTGATATTCTCTGACTACAGCCAAACTTCTTTTGAAGGATCACCCAAGAAGTGAACAAGTAATGATCTCATAATCTGCAGGGATAGCATACAGATTCCACTAAAACTCTAACCCTACAAAAGCTTATTATGTACATAGATGCAAATAACCCTTTATTTGTTTGCTCTTAAATTCTAACTAAAACCTCGAAATTGATTCTTGCCATTTCGTTTTCAACCAGATGTGCAGCCGAGTAACCTCATTTTTTTAAGTTGGCAATCTAACCGTCTTCCGCGCAAGTTGTAACTCACCAAACTGAAATGAAGCTAACAGAATCCAGCCCCTCATGTTCCCATGATTCTTACCCGTTTAACTGCTCCAAAATCACCCGTTTTCAACTCAGCAATTATAGACCGCGCTTCTTTCTCTTTCATACAGAGTCTGTCAACATGGACCCTCATCATGCCAAGTCGAGATTGTTCTTCCTGAAAGTAAAACCAGGACATCACTTACTTGTTATTTCTTTCTGTCCTTTAAACTCAGATGCGACCTAAATTTCGATATTTAGCACAAAGAGCAAGTGGGAAGAATCAATAAATTTATAACGAGAAGAATGCTTATTTTCATGCGCTGCTAAATTTCCAAATTACTTTACATACAACCGTGACAAAGCCAAACGCGAGAGTAGTTTTTCAGGTCTGAGAGCAATGTTGTGCTCTTCATTCATTATCCATCTTCAAAAGAGCAAAATAAAACAGAGACAAATGAATAAAGGGGGTAAGTTTCTAAGAAGAAACTGCGTCGGTGGGAGAGTATAGCAGTAATTTAATGTTAACAACTGAGTTGAAAACGTAAATTGGCCACCGTTAAGGGTAAAAAAGCTAACGTTTCGAGCTTTAGCCCTGCGTTAGAGCGATGAAAAAGGCTAACGCTCGAAACTTCAGTTTCTTTTTCCCCCTTACGGTGGCCAATTGACGTTTTCAACTCAGTTGCTAGCACTAAATTACCTGCAGAGACAAAGACAAACAGACAAAACAAAACCAGACAGACACAGGAAAACTCGCCACAGCTTCCTTAGGTTGTCGTCATAAAGTTGGATTTCAAATCAGTTCAAAGATGGTAAGATGATTCAGCCATGCACAGGAATTCTTTAAAGGCTCTCAACTGATATCAAAGCTATGTTTAGCTCAAGTATTTGTTCGATAAGTTCTATATAATTAGAGAGAAGTGACTGATGGTACAGCATTTCTTCGGAGAAGACAACAGAACAAGATGCTTTTTTACAGATACCTGTAGGAAGGTTTTTCTGCCCTGGCCTCCACTTTTGGTTAGATAGAGGTAAAGCTGGCTCTGTTGTCCTGGCTGTACGAGGCTGTACATATCCATAATGTAGTCATCCTCACAACCCAAGCATGCTCTTTTAGCGACCGGCTCGTCTTCATCCATTTTCCTGTTGGAGGAAGGAAGGAAACTATTTTATTGAGACGCTCTTGTAAACAAGGTAGAGCTAAGAGAATTAAGCGCTAATTTTGGCCAAATTAAATGAAATAATTGTGAACAATTTGTGCTAATGCGAACCCTTAGTCAGCCATGTTGGATCACTTGAACGAGGAAGGCTGGACCGAGCTGGACCGAGAAGGACCGAGTGCAAAGTTGCAAACAGCGAAGCGGGGTGGGGGGAAGGGGTGATCGTCTCCTCTCCCCCGTCTCATCTCCCTCCCTTGTTACGCTCGAATTTTCCCTTCGTCCTTTTAAAATAATCGATGGAGAACTTCCCGTAAAAATTACCTACAACAACTGGGGAATAGGCAGTATCTGCCTGTTTGGAACATACAAAAGCCAAGCAGTTTTGAATTTTAATGAGCAACAATGTAAGAGATTAGAATAACACACCAACCCCCGGATGAAACTTGAAAGATCAGCCATATCTCGTCACAAAGCGCCTTGTGTTTGAGATGAAATTAACACAGGCTAGTCACCACCATGATATCAACTTTCTTCGAATCTCATCATTAGTAAATTTAGATAGCATAAACTGAGTGATAAACAGATTTACTGACCTCACACGCTTTTGTGATGATTTGATTTCGTCTCGATCTTTTCTGATTTCGCTGGCTCAAAGTTTTTTTTTGGCTGGGCAGTTTAAATGTTGACTTCAGTGTCAAGATGAGTTTAAAATGTCCTAGCCTTCCCTCAGGTAAATACAGTTTATAAATCGTAAGGAAGAGTTCGAACACAACTACAATGGTTTCATTCGCTATTGTGTTGCACGGGGAATCCCCCAGCACCCCTCTTTGTTCCCTTACGTCAAATTGTTTTCATCTATTTTTATCTTATTTCTGTCATTTTCGTTTTCCATTTATTGTTATTGTGACCTTTGAAGTGTTTTTAGTCACATGGGTCACAGAAAGAAGGTTTTCCCTTTCGATTTCCTTTTCGGTGAAATGTAACCCGGGGCGATATGATGCAAAATCTCGATCATTTTTCGTCTCTTTCACCGGAGAATTGTGAAACTCATAAAGCATACAACCAAAATAACCATCCAAAAAAAAAAAAGGTCAGAAATTTAAAAAATAACTAAAGAACAAAGCTGTATCTTCTGCACTTTTTTGAGGCTTAAAATTTCGTGACCGATATTAAACAATCGGTGTTATGCGCGTGACATTGAAATAAATATCATTGATTTCAATAAAAACCCTTTCAAAACTCAAACCGAATAACCTGCTCACGCGATGTTAAAGCTTGTTTGTGACAAATCAGTGACAGGCCTTTTCGCTTTTCGCACTTCCGATCGATTTGACGATTTCTAGACAGAAAAATGCACTGTACGATATCAGACGTAGTGCTTTACGATACAAAATACCTTAGCCAC